TGTTTTGATTGGCTACGCACGTTATTTTTACGTGCGTAGTACTGATGTAATATTTCTTCCTGATGATGGGTGTTGTTATGGCAATTTGATTTAACTCCAGCTGTTTAAAATATAGATTGTTTTTCTTAGTTGGAAGACAGCTAGTCCAACTTGTTTATATTGAAAATCTTATAAAATATAAATCTTGCCTTTTATTTTGGATTATATGCAAACTAATGTACCTCTTAAAATATTATTATTTCAAAAACTGCCTGTTTTTAATTTGAAATTTGCAGCATGTTTTCATTGTTTTATTAATGTTTTCATATCAATCTAATTCAAATGTTTGTTGCTAAATCTAATGCAATTTTGAGTTCATTAATATTTTTTACTTTTTGGCTAAAATTATGCAATGGATTCTCTTGCACTTTTAATATTCCTTTGCCTTTGAGATTATCAATCTTATGGAAAGTTGAGGGCAATTTTTTCTTAAGAAACTTGGTAGTTTTTATTTAACTAGGATATAAACAAATTTCTTCTACATTTAAGGGGTGAATTATAAATTAAAGGGGGCATGGGGCACCAACACCTCCCATCCACTCATTTTAGTTTTATTTTTATTATTTGATGATATATATTTTCTTATCTACTTGGATTCCTTTAAGACACTATCCACATATTATTGTTATGCAAAAATAAGAGATTAAAAATTTTTAATGACTTGTTTATTTACAATTCACTTTTCTTATTATTAACTTGTCTAAATGGTCTTGACATGTTTGGAGAGTTTTTTAATTAACTATTTTTAATGCAATGCTTCCTTGAAAAAAAAAAATATTATTCCTAAGTCATGTATTGAATGTTTGTTCTTGGATTTTTACATAAAATTTGCAACTATTTTTCATGCAATGTGTTAAATGCATTGACATATGACACATTTTTAAATTTATATTTGTTATGATTCATGTCATGATTTTTTTGACAAGTTTTACGCTGGTTGTCGACAAAAAAAATTTTGCAAGCTTAATTTTCATTGATGAAACATTTTTACACAATATCTTTGTTTGAAAAATTATAATTATTTTTAATCATAATGTGTTTTTAAAATCATTTTGCTAAACTTACCATATTAACACCTTCCATCCTTTTAATGCTACCCATCTTTCATTACATTGTATGGAAGTGTATTATTTAATTTTGAAAAGTTACACTTATTTTTTAATTAATGATAATATTATTGGCGTTTTTTGTTAGTTCACTCCCATGCAATGTTATATTTAATTTGATTGAGATGTGCCATAAATTATATTTAGTGCATGATACTTGGGTATTTGTGATTTAATTATTGAAGATAATGTTCATAACTACAAAATAATGTACCAACATTAGATGATCTTGATTCATAAAAATAATTATTTTTTGGTGTTTATAAAGTTTGTTACATGTAATCTTTTATTAATTCCAATATGCTCTTAAGTTCTTCTATTTTTCATCCTTATTTAGGTTGTTTCATGTGATTGCAATTGATTTTGAGTAATGCTTTATCAAAAAATAAAAATTGAATCAACTTCCACTTCTTATAGGTCATCATCAACAAAAAAGTTCTTTCTCATCTTATTTGCAAGACATAATTTTATTAATTCATAATCCATTTCTTTATTAGTTGATCTTCAAATATTTTTTTGTTTTGTACATGTATCTACTTAAAATATAAATTATATATAAAGTTTCTTGAATCTTATTGCTCATGTAAATTTCTAATAAGTTTGTGAAATTTATATGAAATTTATGTAGTCTAACTAGGTGATGTGCAATTTTAAAAAACTCTCATGAGTTTACATTGAACTACCTCTGGTGTAAGAATTTTTGTTGGTGTGATGATTTGTCAATGTGTCCACCACATATCGTGAAAGAGTTTTATTTAAATGAGTGGATGCATCATTTAATAAATAATATACTACATTGCGAGGTAGAAATAGTACTTTAAAATGGATCAAGCATATTCAAATGAGGAAAACCTTTAAGCTTTATGGGTGTACGTGAACCAAATATTTTTTTCTATCTTATGAGGTAAGATTAGGTTTATTTTATTCTGGGGTTTGGTATCCCCATATGTGCAAGCTTTCATAGTTAATTACATCCCAAGAGCCGTGGACTTCATTAAAAACTATCGGTTAAAGTATTGGCTCATATAATGTAAGATTTTATGGTTGATATTTTTAAACAGAAAGATTCAAGATTTAAGAGATTTTCAGATGAAGGAGTTTTATGATTTGAAAATTATTTTCTTAGAATTAAAAGGTTATGACTTATTGTCCAACTATGATGTGTTGTGGAAATGTCTAGGAAAAGGGATTAATTAATTTTGAGATAATGGTGTACCCTGAGAAGTAGAATTATAAAATTATTGAAGAGTTATATTTGATTTGAATGGTTGGATTTGATTAACTTGATTTGAAAAACTTGATTTGAGTTGATTTGGTTTGAATAGTTTGATTTGAGTTGATTGGGTTTGAGTTGAAGGTTTGATTTGAAGATTTGTTTTGAAGAATCAAATTGAGGTTTATCAGTGCAAATAATGTTTCAGCGGAAAATCAATTAGAACACAATGAGAAACATCAATCCTTACATCATAGGAGCATGAAAGAGATTTAGTTACGTGCAATGAGGAAAAGAAACAAGGAATTTTTTATGGCAATCATGGAATAAAACAGCTACAGGAAAGGAGAGAACTTTCAACAAAAAAATATCCCTTCAGAATACAACTACTTCTCTCCGTACAACGACAATTGCTTTACAATTTCTCTCTTCCACAGACTCAAAGTCTCTCTTACACAACTCCTGTCAAAGCTCAAAGAAAAAGAGCACATAAGAGCTTTTTCTCTCAAAGATAAGGAAGAAAAATCCTAAGAATAAAGGTGGTGACTCTTTTATTCCTCTTGGTTGCCTTTCCATGTCTCTGAATGCCTCTAGATCATGTTGTAGCTTCGTCCTTGAAATCCCATGTCAAAATTGCGCATGAAATACTTTACAAAGTTGATACGAGACTCGTGAGAACAAGACCATGCCCGCATTTGGCGTAACAATGTTGATGCTAGTGTAGCCACTTCAAATATTAGCATAGTTATGACGACAATCTAGAAAGGCCGGCTTAATTACGTTGCATATAGGTGTGTATGCTAGTTCAACTCCACAGAATCTAGCATTTTATCGTTTTGTGATGTGCTTTTGACCCCTGTAACCTATACAATACCACAAAAACCTTTCATAATCATAAAATTATGATGAATATGGAAGAAAATGTAGAATTTAAAATAATAAAAATATGTAATTTTGCCTCATATTAGTAGATCTACCACATTCTCAAGGTTAAGAAGCAAAATATGGTTGTGTGAACCTATGTTGTTCTTTAATACTTATTGATGACTCACTTTTTGGGGAGCGTGTTGGCAGATCCAATCACCTCCGTAGTAGTTTTTCATCATCAAAATCTGAAAGCATGTGGAAGGAAATCAACACTGTTTGTTCCCCTCTCGAGGGCAAACTCTTCATGGCAAGCAGGACATTCACCTCAATAGGCTTTGAGCCTCCAATCTTCATCTTTTAATGAATCCACCCAAAATGACTTTCATCACAATTAGTCCAAAAAATTTCATAAAATGCATGGGATAAAGAATTATACAAATCATAAACAAGCCAACCCATACACCTATTTATAACTAAAAGTG